TGAGGAGCCTCTGGAACGCCGTGAAACACGAGAACTTCATCTTCAGTTTCAGAAACAGCCTGGTGGCTGAGGCCTATACCCAGCTGTCTGTGAAGTACGCGGAGTGGGAGTGGGAATTCCGCAAGGAGATGCATCTCTGGATGTCCAAAACAGAAACCACCATCCAGAACCAATCCCCAGACGATCTGGGTCCAGGCACCTTTGAGAAACTAAGGCTGGAAGTTCACCAGATGCTGCACAGTGGGGAGCAGAAGATGCTGCAGAGCCTTCAGAGCTACTTTGAGAGTGGAGCCGGGAGTCTGCACCTGGTAGAGAAATACAGAGAAGACTTTCACCGAAGCGTGACATTTCTCCGGCACGAACTGGAGAGCTATTTGCTCTGCAAGTCCGAAGAGGCCATTCGTATCCAGAAAGGTCGGAGCAAGATAGACCATTTGCAGGCCGGATACATGAAAGTCATTGAAGGGAAGGTGGACGGGCTCTTGCGGGACTGCAGGGAGAGGGAAATGGAGCTAAAGCCCAAGGAACTGGAAAGGGAGTTTGCCAAGATGTGGAAGGAAACCTTAGCAGAGCTGCCGCTGGAGCGCTTACCCCTACGCCAAATCCACGAAGACGTCTACTACCAGCTGTGCAAGGACCTGGAGAACAGAGGGAGTTTGGTCAAGCAGATGCTCCATAAAGCCCAGAACTTGCTCACCTATCAAAGCAAACCCTTCCGCATGAAGAATGAGTATCTGGACTTGGGTTGGTACAAAGCAGCTGTGGAGTTTATAACACAGCAATATTGGCGTGAATTGGAAGAGTTCACAAAGTCCCTGGTGGAGGAGTGTAGGAGGTACATTTGGCAGAAGGTCCACTCCCAAGGGGATTACGACCAGACTTACTGCAGGGAATTGCTGCGGATGATCAACGAGAGGCTCCAGGAGAACGTCGCTGGGAAGATTCGCACCAGTGCTTCCTTCGAAGTCGATTTAAAGCTTCACATCCTGGGAGAGGCAGCCAGCACTTTCCAGAAGATGCACGAAGACTTTCTCAAGAAGAACGACCCTCAGCGTCGCCTGGAGGAGCTGAGACCTCAGTATTTCTCCACCTTCAGAGACCTTTACTATGAGAAGGATGCCTGCCAGAAGAGAGCTTTTGATTTCTGTGACCGGTGCCTGAGACCCGCCCTGTGGGAATATATGAAGAAAAGACTCGGGATTGAGATAGTGGACAACTTTCTCAGCAGTGGAGAGTCCATCGAGTATGGCAGCCGGAGCTTCTTCCAGTTCACCATGCAGAAGAAGCTGCTGGAGGAGATGGACTTCAATAACTACGTGAAATACGTCAGTAACTATGAAGTGTTTGTCAAATCCTGGATCCAGACACGCCTGGTCAGCCACTACAGAGAGACTGGGAGCTTGGGAGAACTGGAGAGAAAGGTTCTAGCCACGATAATGAAGAAAATCCGGGACGCTCTGGAGAGCTTTGAGTGCCAAGATGCCGTCACCATCTCTGAGTTCTTGGAGCAGTTTTGCCAAGCACTGTGCAAAGAGCTGGTCATCTCCAAGGACAGTTTGGAGGTGATCCTCTTCAAAAACACAGCCAGTGTCGGGCAGTTCTCAGCTGACATCCAGACCTTCCTCCCCCAGGTGGAAGAAAGCATCCTCTTGGGATGGAAAGAGCTGGGTGGGGAGATGGTCTTCACACAGCTCCAGTTCAAGCCTCAGGATGAGATCTTCAAGCGCGTGTTTGGCTGTGGGAAGCAGTGTCCGTTCTGTAAAGTCCCCTGTGAAGCAGGAGGCAGCGACCACAAGCAGCATTTTGCATCAGTGCATCGGCCTAAAGGGCTGGGGGGCTACAGTTATGAGACAACTGATAGGCTTGTGTATTCTTTGTGCTCCTCTGATGTAGTTTCTAGTAAATCATTTAAAAACCTGAACACGGCATTCAAATGGCATCCCTACAAAGATTATCGCCAATTCTACCCCACCTGGCACATTCAACCGGACCCCAGCATCAGCGCCTCCGATTATTGGAAGTTCATATTCAGAAAGTTCAATCGACAGTTTGCCAGAGAGTACAATGTGCAGCCTGCCGATCTCCCCCCGGAGTGGAAGAAAATAACCAAGGAGCAGGCTCTGGGCAGCATCCGAGAGGCATTTAACATGGAATAGAGGCTGGCTCTCTGCATTATGATACAGTCTTTAATTCCATAACAAGGCGCCGTCAGTCTTAATCCTGGCATTTTGTTACTTCCCAGGGCTTGATTTTGCCACCTGAAGGCTCCTTTAATGTAGTTCTTTGTGTGTAATTGCCTAGGTTTAAAAAAAATAAATGGAAAAACAAAGCAGTTCCATTGTGTGACATCATATTGACACCTCCATAGCTCCTCAGCAGGGCTTGAACCTTTAGATGCCCGCACACTTCTCTGCCAGTTAAGCTAACCGAGTAACTGATAGCAGTAGTAGGTTGTCATCCTCCATGGGGACTGGCCATCACAAGCGAGTGAGGGACATACTTTGCCAGTGGGTTTCATAGATATTTGCTGACAGCAGAGGACAGGTAAAACTCAGGACTTCTGGGTTCTGTCCCTGATTCTGAGGGAAGCGTGCTCTATTGGTCATGTCATAGACCCATCTGTCCATCCACCCCCCACCCCACCGTCACCCCAGCTTGACCCATCCCTTCTAATATGTCCCTGTACCAGTCCCAGTCTCCCCGTTCCCAGCTTCTTCTTCGCTACACATTCCAGTCCCCAACTGAAAACGGGGCATCATAATGGAACATATCAGGCAACCTTTGCTACAGGGGGCACTACCAGCCACGCTTATAGTATATCTCTACCGTGGGCTTCTTCCCATCGAGAGGTAGAAATATGGCAGGGTCATTTTCCTGATGGCAGGTGGGTGGTTTATAACATTTCCCAGGTGCCTTCTGGGATAAATCTAGAGCCCCTGCCACTCTGCCCCCTGGTGGTCCATGAACCATCTCCAGCTGGAATCCGGATCCTCCAGCCACACATGGGGACAGGGAAATCGGCAAATGGCAGTGAGCCATTGGTGGATCTGGGCTGCGGCATCCAGTTTGATTCTCCTGATAGCTGATGGCTCTCTGCTGAGTTGCACTGGGTGGGTCATTGGCTGGGGGCGAAGGGACCAAGCTAGAACAGTGGAGAGTGTTAATAAAGATTTCCTCGGCATATTCAGCTCTGGGTGTGTGGAGAACCAGGGCCTCTGTCTCGGGTAGGAGGTAACATTGTTAGCTGAGCAATGTTAGGTTCGATATTCACTGTCACATCTGTTTGTTGGGAGGTAACGCAATATCTTTTGAATGCCCCAGCCGATCAATTCCTACATTTCGGGGAACGTTCTAGACATCGGTTGGCAGAACCCTGCTGATCTTGGATCAAACTGGAAAATCCGGAAGGGAGAAATGGGAGACGCACAGAGAACCCCTGGCTTCTGGCCAGCAAAGCCATTAACTTCAACCAGCTCTGAAATTGTAGATCAAAGAACCAGTTGATGGCAGAAATTAACCCCTTCCAGCCTAAAAACACCCCCATCTCAGCGCTGCTCAGTCCCTCAAATATTATAGTGCAGTGCCAGCTCTGCTAGGGTTAAGTTGGAGAACAGCTTTCTGTTTGAAGGGCCACTCTTCAAAGTGCTCTAAAAGCTTCATGTTTACTCAGATTGTTCTGAAATGTGCTGTGCCTCATGGGGGAATGGGATAGGATTCATGGTCCAACTTTGACCAAGGGGGTCCCAAGTTACAGCCTCACACAAAAGACAAGTTTTTCATCAGGTTGAGAGATTGCATCATTGGTGTTTGGTTTTTGGTGTTTTTTCTTCTGAAACCAGGGCTCTGCTCCTGCCCCAAATACCTTGAAACTGTTGACACCCGAATGCCTGATCTTCCAGAGAGAAAGAAATAGAATGGTGGTGGGGGGGAATGGGGGCACAGTGAGCCCCTGGCATGGGGGGTGAGGGGGAAAGTGAGGCACACAGAGCCCCTGGCATGGGGGGTAAGGGGAAATGGGGGGCACACAGAGCCCCTGGCATGGGGGGTAAGGGGAAATGGGGGGCACACAGAGCCCCTGGCATGGGGGGAGGTGTAAAGGGGGTGCACAAAGAGCCCCTGACATGGGGGGAGGGGTATGGGTTTGCAAACTGACTTGAGGATGGGAGAGGGACACCCAGATGGGGGGGTGGAAGGATGCAAGGGGCCCCCGGGGGGTGCGCTGGGCTTGGCCGACATGCCCTGGAGCAGGTGTCCCCTAGCCGAGATCCCAGCCCCAGCTGAGCTCTCCCCCCACTGTTGTCACAGGGGCACAACCCCGATGGAGAAGCAGACCCTGCCTTGGCAGATCCAGAGGGTAGCTGGGCCCTGGCACTTGGATCTCAGCCCCCTAACACGTCCTGCCTCGCACCTTGGGGTGCAGGGACTCTGTAAAGGGGGGTGCATCGGACAGCCTGGGGGCAACTCAGAGGGATCCCCATGGGGTAAAGAGACCCCCCACCGATGGCCAAGGCTCCCTCTGCCTTCAGCACTGGGGTGGGCTCTGCCTAAGGAGGATTGACTGAGGGGAGCGGGTGGCCCGGAGGGGAAGGGAGATTAGGGTCCCAGTTGTGCCAAGTGCTGCAGAGTCCCTGCCCCAACCAGCTCACAGCCTAAACAGACAAACTGCTATCATCTCCATTTTATACATGGGGAAACTGAGGCCCAGAGAGATGCAATGCCCTGACTGTTCACACGAGGCATCTGTGCCGGAGCCAGGGATAGAACCCCGGATTCCTGATTCCCAGCCCCCCGCTCTAACCACCAGACTCCACTCCCCTAACAAAGCCCAGGAGAGAACCCAGGAGTCCTCCCTGCTCTAACCCACTAGACCTTGCTCTCCACCATGAGCCAGGAAGAGAACCCAGGAGTCCTGGCTCCCAGCCTCCACCAGCCATTCACATCCGCAGCACCTGGGTAATTGGCCCTGCAGGGGAGCAAAGGATCTTACGCTGTCCTTTTTCTACTGCAGTCACCGCGCCCCCCTGGCCGGTCATCGCTTTGACATGCAGGGCCTGGGCACCTTGACCAAACTACTCACACTATAGACTGGCTGCAAAGCATTGTGGGTAGGGTAGCCCCCTGCCAATTGGCTGGAAATGCTGGAGGGGGGGAAAGAGATTCTAACTACAAAGGAGCCAGCGCCCCCTAGAGGAGAAAGGCCCCGTGTCCCCTCCCCCACACATCCCAAAACCATTTTGGATAGTAACTTTTAGCTAAAACACTCCACCATGGAATTCATGGGCCAGCTTCTAGTGACTTGAATTCGGGTCACTCCAGATTTACTCCCGGGGCACTGAGATCAGGAGCCAGCCCTGTATTTTCCCACCCCTTCACCCTATAAACCATCTCCCACATTTAAAAAAAACAACAACAGCCCCTGCTTTTTCTTTGAAATGTATTTTCTTAAATCTGAAAGTCCAGCACAGTCTGACCTAAAGAATAACAAACCCAAACCCTCGTTTTTCTTTTCAAAGATTAAAAAAAGGCAATCGTTCCAACTTAAATAAAATATTACAAAATAGAGACTTTAAAAATAACCTAAGTATCAGCCAGAAAACAGGGGAAGTGCACCATCAGTGTAATTGTCCCATTATCCTAAGGAGAAAACAAAAGGTCTCTCTCCGCTCTGTTAAGCGAGATGCTATAAAAGAAAATTCAATACAGAGCCAAGCAGATCTCAGTTGGTCACCACCAAATCCACGGGGGGCTGTAGGAAACACGTGTAACAAACAGGAAGGTTTATTCGGTCGGCGTAACAGCACCGTGATGGTCCCATCTGTATTTCTTTGCCGTCGTTGGAGCCCGGTTGGGCCCAGGATATGAGAGAGTCAAGGTGGGTGAGGTAATACCTTTTATTGGACCAACTTCTGTTAGTGACAGAGACAAGCTTTGGAGGTTACACAGAGCTCTGCGTCTCTGTTAGAAGCGGGGCCAATAAAAGATATTACCTCACCCACCTTGTCTCTCTCATCTCTCCGATTTCACACTTTGTCCCTCTCACTGAGCTCTTGTGAGTTTCGTCAGTTGAGAAGAGCCGCTGAGGCAGGCCCTGCTATTCCAAGCCACGCTGTCACATCCGCCCCATAGTATCATCCACTTGCCAACCAGTTCCCGTGTTTGCTCTTGGGAGGCGGCTCCAGATCCTCCCTCCTCGGACGGTTAGAAAGCTCATTTCCAGCCTCTGTTTATCCACCCAGTTGTTCTCGTGCCACTGTTGTCCTTTAGCTTCCACAGCTCTGCTCTCCCCACGTCCCAGGTGTCTGCTCCCCATTTGTATTTATAGAGAGTAATCAGATCCGTTCTCCTGGCCTGCGTTTTAGGCTAAGCCCAGGTCTGTCAGTCTCCTCATAAGATCGGCTCTCTGTTGCCCTGTTCGTCCTAGCAGCCCCTCTTTGCACCTGAATTCCTCTTTCTCGAACCTGGGCAACCAGAGTTGGACACCGTATCGCAGGTGTGGTCTTCCCAGTGCCCAATGGCACTAATGCTTCTTGGTTGTGACCGGATATACCTCACCTGCACCATCGTAGGGTGGCATTTGCAAGTCTCAAAGGGAGAGAGGGAAATTTTTGTCCAACTCCCCTCAGAGAACTGGAGATAGAACACAGGAGTCCTGGCTCCAAGCCCTGCCCTACAGACTCCCCTCCCCTACTCAGACCCTGGGTTAGAACCCAGGAGTCCTGATTCCCAGCCCCTCCTGCTCTAACCCACTAGACCCCACTCCCCTCCCAGAGATAGAACAGAGAAGTCCCAGGCTAGAATCAGACCAGGGTCCTCCTGGGGTGTGTATGTGTCCTGTGGGGGGAGGGGGGGGTGATCTAATTTCATTCCCAGGATTCCCTTCAACAAACTAGTTATGCCACTAATTCTAACTACCTACAGACACACAATGTTCTCCATCAGCCGAATCCAACTTAAACCAGTTGCAGAGATGTTTTTTCAGGCAAGTGAGTTGAAGTCTAAAGCCCTTGTGTCGAGGGGAAGAGGGTTTGCCATGCACAGATGTTCAGGAGCGGTTCGGTTCAGAAGTAACCTACAGCCTCTAAGGCTTGGGCTAGAGAACATCTAGAAATTTAGATCAGGCTCGGAAGATGGAGTCCTGACTCTTAGGCCCACCCCACAACTTCTGGCCCACTAGACCCGAGTCAGGGACAGAACCCAGGAGTCCTGATTCCTAGACTAGTGCATTAATCACAGGCCCGTCTTCTTGGCATGAAGTCAATTTTGTCCACCTCACCATTACTATGGTTTGATCACTGATAGAGAAATCTTTATATCACACACACTCTCTCTCTC